ACTAATTGTCACACTCAATCATTCAGATTCTGAAAACAGGGGTGTCTATGGTTCTGCTCTTATAATATATATATTAGAAAATCAAAGCTAGTTTGTTAAAAAAACAAAGATGTAAAATTTTAATCAAATGGGTGAACTTGTGAAAAAATAATAAATTCGTTGATAGAAAAGGAAAAAAACACATTCAATTAAGAGAAGGGTGTAAGAGTTTAAAGTAAATAAAAATATATAATATTAATGCAAAGCAGTTATAAGATTAAAAAATAATTTTATATTGAAACAAAAAATTAATTTTATATACAAATATAATAAAAATAACATAAAATTATTATAAATTTAATTCAATTTTTACAACAACAATCCAAAAATTGAATTGTATTAACATTTATAATTTTAAAATTTTTAACTTTTTAATTTTTATTTTTATATAATTTAATAATTTAAAACAATTTGATTAAATTTTAAACAATCCTACTTCTAAATAGAAGCAGAAATTCCAGCAGTCCATCAAAAGCTTCTGGCGTGACTACATTAGGCTTGATCTAACTTTTAAACATATTTATTATGTTAAATCGATGTCTTTTTTTATTCAACTAATAGGAATATTTTTAAAGCTATTTAATTTTTTTATTTAAAGACTAATCTATTTGAATTAATATAAATTATATGATAATAATAATTTTTTTATTATTGCATTGAATGTACAGTGATATTGTAACGTTATGTGTTAACTTAATAAAAAATGAATCTCATCGATTAATTTAAAAGTAATTTAATAAGTGTATTTAAAAAGCCTAATTATAAAAAATTAAATGAACTTTTAAGACATTGTAAATAATAATCAAACATTAAAAAAAACTATATATTATTAAAATATGTTAAAAGTAAAAATTGACTTCACTTATGTGTACTCCTTGTAACCTGAGAGAGAAGTTCTTTCTCTTTGGTTGAAGAGTTATAAAATACATTTACATGAAATAGAGAATTTAGTTTATACATTTGAGTGTCTAAATTCATATTACGGTTGGATGAACTAAGATTAACATGATTATTGTTAAGAAACAGAGTCTTTTATCACCTTTATCTTCAGAAATATTCACATAAAAAAATAATTTTAATGTAGTTAAATATTTATTATTTATGTTTATAAATTCTCTACAAAATTTTATTAATTTTATAACTTTTGATGGAATAAAATTACAAACTATCTTATTTATAATTTGTAAATAAACAAATTCTAAATTTTTTCCTCACACAGGTACTAAACTCTGAATATATTTAAAAAATTACAATTTTTGTTATGATAAACAAGTATAAAATAAAATAACATATTTGTAATAATTTTCAACCTCTTCTTTCTTTAAATTTATAAATTTAAATAAATAACTTATTTTAGTCCAACAATTATTCATTCTAATTAACATGATATACAATAAAGTTCAAATAAAAAATTACTTAAATTAACATTTAGACTTTTATACGCAGAATAATAAATTATTAGCTCATGATTATTGAAACACAAAATAAAAATTAATTGTAACTCAAAACATGCATTAGATAGTTTTAACACCTTTCATGTTAGTTTAATTATGTCTTCTAATTTTTTTCCTTAAATTTAGAGAGTTTTATTTTTATAAAAAATGATTTTTAATGAACAATTTATAAATTTTGAAAAAAAATCAATAAAAAAATGTATCAGTGGACCTTAAGTTAGTGGAGTGTTACAGGCCAATCAAATATGAAAGCAAAAGTATGACAATTCAAATTAGTTAAAAATCGCATTATGAATATAAAAGAAAGATAAAGAACATAATCAAATTTTAATAACAATTTAGAAGATTATAAACTGAATATAATTTACAGTATTACATTCTATAATAATTTATTTGAACAATATTTAATAACTATTTCTAAAAATAAAAATAAATTAATTGAACATTTTTTATAGGTTAAAATTTACTTATATACCTTTAAAAAGTCAATTACAAGAGTGAGCTTCCAAAATGATTTCGGTGCTTGATCCTAATTTATAAAAATAATTTTGATTCATTTTTTATCAGTTATTTTTTCATATAAATATTTATTAAATAATTTATTCAAACTAATTATTAATTGATTTTATTAATATATTAAATATATAAAAATATTTTATATTTAAAAAAATTCTTTATTTCTTTAAAAGCCAAAATATTGTTTTTACTTTTTTAAATAAAAAACATTTTATATATTTTTAACATACCAATTCCATGGAATTGATATTAAAAAATTATGTAAACTAAATAAAATAAAATCAAAAGGAAGACATTTGCGTTGATGCTATTTGTAACCACTGGTTAAGTCAAACCCTCTATGCCAAGCTAGCCAACTATCATATGATTAACTTTTTGTTTGTGCATATAATTGCGTTCTAGGTGGTCCAATATCAAGCTCTTGTTTAATTTCAAAATAATTGTTTATTTATTCTTATAATCTTTTTAAATTTTAAAATAAATAATTGTTTTTTAAAAGAAAAAGTTTCTCAAAATGCACCAAGCCAAACAAAAAGGATTTTTAGAAAGCATGAATCATGGAAGTGAGGTAAAAAAAAGGATATATTTAAAAATGGGTTAAAAAATTATAAATATAATTTATCATTAAACATATAATCAGAATTAAACAACAATTTAAACTCTGTAGTACCAACTAACCGAGAGATATGATGAAAGGATATGAGTTTATTTAATTTAATTGGAAGGGAAGTTTTTTTATTTCATTAAAAGGAAAAATAATAGGAATATATATATATATATAAAAGCAGGATTTTCTTATATCGGTGTAATTTTAAAAATTCTTATACTTAATCTGAGCTTTTTATTTAACTTAAATCTAACAGGTTACAATTTATTATTTTATTGACTATTAAATTTAAGTTAAATGAAAGACTCATATTGAGTGTAAAATTTTTTAGACTTATACTAGTATAAGAATATCTTTTTCTTTCTTTTTCTATATATATATATTACTAATGAAAGAAAGAAAAAAGTAAAATAAATTATTATTTTATTAACACTGTAAAAAGGAATTTTTTATATAAAAAATAAAATAAATTGGATAGTTTAAATACGTTAAGATTTAAAATATAAAAAAATCTAAAAAAGGAGAAGAAAAAAATTATTTATTTATTCTATTTATAATTACATACATGTTTACTTTTGTGTTAGTTTTTAGCATTCGTACATTTCAGATATAAACGTTATTCTCAATAATTTCAAAATTACATACGCCCGAAAGAACAAATATTTCTTATTGCCTTAGATAATAAATATTTTATATAAATAAAAAGTGTAATGATGAATAATAATTATTATTGCCTTAAACTTCTACGTAAACAGATAAAAGAACAAAATTCTTCTTCTCTCTCCAAACAAATAAATAAGAATAGAAGTAATATAAATTTGGACCACACAATTTATACAAAAACAAGAATGTAAAATAGATAATAAATTTAATAAAATAACATATTTAACAATATTTTATCAAAAATACATTTTATCAAATCAGTAGTTAAATTTAAAATTCTCATAAATATATTTACTTAACATAATTTCACATAATTAAAAAATTCAAAAACTCTATTGCATAAATTTATTTTTTTATAAAAACAATAATACAAAATAATAATTATAATAGAGAAATGTCTTGTAGAATAAAATTTTTGTACGAATAATAAGTAAAAAAATTCACAAAATACTCTAACATTTTTTGTGTCAAAAGCCTTATTTTTTTACTTTTTTAATTTAAATTTTGTTCAATAAAAAATACACTGATTCGTACAAAATTTGTATAATCACCTTTTACATTAATTAAAAATTCTATTATATTATCTTAAACTTTTAAATAAATAAATAATTTCTTAAGAATAAATAAATAGAAACAAACGTAGTATATATATATGCATCAATTTTAAGTAGAGCTGATTAAACGGCTCAGTTGAACTAGGCTCAGCTGAATTTTGTCTTATAAAATGTAAGGTTTGAATTTTAAATTTTAAAATAAAATTAAATTTGAACTGTTTATAATTTGATCCAATCAAGTCCAATGCAGGTTAAACATGTAAAAGCCTACAAAAATTGAACTTTACCTGTTTCAGACATTATTTTTGCAAGCTCAAATTATATTTAAACATTTTCAGCCAACTTACTGAAGTTTAATACTTGCTGTGGATCAGTCTAAATAGATCAGATAGCCCATTCTGTCACTTCTAATTTTAAGTATCAATTATAAATATTTTTTACACACTAGAAAAGAAAAGTTTTTTTTTTTTTTATAATGACTTTGAACATTATAAATTAATAAAAATTTATATTAATTTTACTTTTATCTTAATTAGAGAAATAAGTTTATTAAACTATCCTTATTTTTATTTTGCTTGTTTATTAAAAAATTCACTCACACAATACTCAAAATTTATTATTATATTCATGATTTATTTAGAGTAGAATTGAATAAAAGCATTAATATTTTATTAAAATCTTAAAACATGATTTGATATGAAATTTCTTTTTATGAAAACATCACTTAATTTAAAATAAATGAAACAAAATGTAGAGGAGATAAGAGGCTACGCATGCACATTATTTCCCCAATTCTTAAACGACTTACTAAATATGTTAACGAATAAATGGAATTCAAATCCAAAGTCATTTGCATCGATGTTTGAAATAATCAAATCTCATAATGATTAACTTTTCTTTTTTGGGTCCAGCATGATGGCTAACTTTTAATTTGAATGTTAAACAACTTTTGTCAACAAATGTATATACAACTTTAGGATCTTGTAATAGGAACATGGCAATTAATTGCGCTCTTATTAAGGCCCAATGTCTCATCAATTTGAGTTTCCTGAAGTTGGAAAACTCATGGTCACAGTTTATGTAGCAGCCCACCAGACACTACAAAGAGGAAGCTTGCACGTGCAACACCCACCATGTCCAACAACAGGGTTGTTGGAGTGCATTAAAAATGGAGGTAGGTATGGACAAACTCTACTTACATTTCACCTCTTACAATAAGTCAACTTCAATAGCTTGTGGTGCAGCAGACAGAGAAACAAAGATGGAAGGAGAAAATGGAAAGAAGCTGAAAATACTGTGCCTCCATGGATTCAGAACTAGTGGGAGTTTTCTTAAAAAGCAAATCAGCAAATGGGATCCTTCTCTATTCACTCAGTTTGATATGGTAATAAATGTCTTTCTCAATGTTCAAGCGTAAAGTGTAAATTATGTGTCAAGAGTTTTTAATTTTAAGCCCTTGTTCTTAGAGATTTCAACTTCTTCCTTTAGCACAAAACAATCACTATTAAGAACAAAACACTGATTGTATACAAGGTAGTGACAGCGAACTCGTGTCATAGATGGTAAAATCAGCCTTAATTGCTGTATATACTGCACTGTTGTTAGTGGTGATAACTGCAGCCATAATTTGAACTCCTTAATAATTGCTAACGCATTTTGTTTCAATGTACTACAATTTTTTTACATGTATTCAAAGCACAATAAAAATAATAAATAATAATTTTTTATTGAAAATTATAGCATTGAATTATGTGATTTTACTATATATAAGCTTTTAGTGTATGCTCTAAAATACACTTTAGAAAAGCCAAATATAGTTTACATACCAGTAAGTATATTCTAGTCCTTATTTTTTTCCCCAAGTACAAAAGATATACATATGAAAGCAAAAGAAACAAAAAAAAAAAAAAGTCAATGTGTAAGATGGATTAGGATTGTCTCGTGAAGTTTTACATGAGAGGTGCGTAGTGTTTAATTTCATCGTTCAATTTTATTAAAATAAATTATTTAATAAAATTTTATATTATAATAGTATATATTCGATGATTAAGATTTGATACAGTGGAAATATCACGCAAGACCTCAGATATGAAGCTTTTAAACTGTTAAATTTGACAGGTATTCCCAGACGGTAAATTTCCTGCTGGAGGGAAGTCTGACATAGAAGGCATCTTCCCTCCACCTTACTTTGAGTGGTTTCAATTTGAGAAGGTAGAAATACTATCCTCTCTTACATTTCGGATTTGGCTAATAGCTTAGCAATGAAATTATCAAACTTCACATGCATTTGGGTTAGAGGAAAAGAAATTGAAATTAACAGAACTTATACACGACTCTTGTTTCAGGACTTCACAGTGTACTTCAACTTGGAAGAATGCATCTCATACTTATGCGATTACATTATAGCCAACGGTCCCTTTGATGGTTTCCTTGGCTTCTCTCAGGTAAACAATTCATAATTGCTCTAAAAGTCAATCACTTCTGCATTTAAGCCGTCTATATTCCAATCATGTATAAAACTAAATACTTGACTCATCTTTCTTCTTTCTTTTATGTAAATCAGGGCGCAACACTTTCAGCACTTTTGTTAGGTTATCAGGCACAGGCAAGTCATTAATACCATTAGATTTATAATATAAATTCAACTACAAAATTCTGACTGATGAACATGAAATTAACAGGGAAAGTTGCTAAAGGAACATCCACCCATAAAATTGTTTATATCAATATCAGGATGCAAATTCAGAGATCCCAGCATATGCGATGTTGCATACAAAGACCCCATCAAAGCTAAATCTGTTCACTTCATTGGGGACAAAGATTGGTTGAAAATGCCTTCTGAGGACCTTGCCTCTGCATTTGACAAACCCCTTATAATAAGACATCCCCAAGGTCACACTGTCCCACGACTAGGTATGCTATTGCTCTTCATGATCCTTAGTTATGTTTTACTCCAGAAGCTGAACTTTCCATGCCTTATCTCAAACAGATGAGGTGGCCACCAGTCAGTTGAGAAATTGGATTGCCGAAGTCCTATGCGAACCAAAAGTTGGTGTCTTGGTTCACGAGCATCAAAAAGACATTGAAGAAAATAAGTCAGAGAAGGGGAGCAGGAAAGAAGCCAATAGTACCAATCAAGACAAGGTTGCATACGGGGTGGAATTAAACAAGGGTTCTGACAGAGCAGGAGTGGCCCAAGCCTGAAGATCAGGACTTCTAAGAGGAAGCGTGAGAATTTTATATATACTATGTATTATGTATGACTCGTGATTCGTATGGACCGGTTTTGGGGTCTCGTGATTGTTTCAGCACTAAAATAAAATTAGAAGAATTTCCCTTGGATCAATCATGAATGTTTCAAACAATTATGTTTTATAAAATAGAACGTGAATCACAAGTTGGGTAACGTTTTGGTTCCACTATTGGAGCAATACACATCCCTAACTCTCCATAAAAGCTAATGTTAATTCACATGACAAAACTGCATACTGGGGGACAACAAAAAACCGATCACTCTCCCGACTGGCCCTACGATTTAACCAACTCTGTTGCTGATAGCTTGATAAAGAGATTTAAGTTGTGTGTTCCATTTGTCTACGGCAGTATACTTTTTCATTCCTTTTGACCTGAACAATGCATTTTTAATGTTAATAAAAATACCGGCTTTTATAGAAACAAAATTATGAATAGACTAAATCCAGTGAAAAGGAATTAAACATAAAAACTGACCTATCAGAGCGTTCTAAGAGCCGGTTGACTTGATCAATGTGTCCTTGAATTCTGTTATCCAAAATAAGCGATACCAGTAGCTGCTCAACATCATGCTCAGGCACATTAAGTTCCTGCAAATTAATAGGTTTTATTACATAAAAGCTATTAGACTAGCCGTAACTTAAGTGCCTCATAAAGTCAGCTCAACAAATAAACATTACTACAAACAGAAAAAAAAAAAAAAAGCAACAACTTTCAACTTCACCATTTGAACCAGCGGACAGAGAGAGGCAGGATAGAGTCCACAGAATAATGTTTGGCTTATTCTCTTCACAATGAACAGTCTTACCCAACTAACATTAGAGCATCCATCACATCACATCTTAAACCAGGGATTAGAGGGAATGCCTTTCAAGGTGTATTTGAATATTTATTTTCTTTTTCTATTCCATTAGTTTATGTGATGCACTGGAGGTAGGAAAAGGTCAGAAATGAAGCTGAAATACAAGAATTGTGGAGTTCATTTACCTTAGATATAAATGGGATCCTGATCCTTGTATATGGTTTGATAAGCTTCAGCAAGACTTGGGTCCTGATATTCTTTAGCAGATCTTCAATGTAATTTCTGATAAAGGGATCATCCATGATGGTTCTTCTGTTACTCTGGAAAAAAAAAAAACCAATATCCAATTCCAATAAATATTGGATGATAAATAAGATATATTTCAAGGTCAAATTAGTGACATATTCTCATTCTCATGCTAGACTCAATAACAGTACCTTCAGGATTTTCTCAAATTCCAATATTTCATTCCGCTGATATGCAGCTATTAAATTCGTCATTGCCAAAATTTCAGGGTCATTCTTGTATCTGCAATACATAATATATGACAGTGAAAACAGAATGAATGAGGGAGGGGATTGAATCAAAGAATGCGCGAGATAAAAAATGGTCAAGTACAGTTTTAAAAAATAAAAATAAAATAAATACAAGAGACTTACGGCTTAGCCTCTTGTCCATCAAAAGGATTTACTTCAGACTCCATCAACATGTTCGCAAGAACAAGGTACCTGACATGTAATAGCAATTATGCTACAAGGTGTTAAACACACAAAAAAAAGAGCTCCTTGAGTGATTTATTTTAAAGTAGTCAAGCACAAATGGTGATTCTCAGGAAAAGATGGATTCAAATGACAAGTATATATATATTAATAAAAATTGCCACTAAAATTTATGATTCATAGTTAACCACATTTTTTGTAATTAACAATTGTGAAATGCATACATATCTTATTAATTGTTATACAAATTTTTTAAAACTAATGACTAAAATAAAAAAACACAAAGAAAGCTTTGTTTCTTACTTCAAACATTGGATGCGCCTCTGGTTCCCAGCTTCATCATAATTCTTAAAGGCTTCAAAAAAATCAGTAGCAGCTTCAGCCCACTGGCGCTCTGCCATATGCATTTTCCCTCCACATTCATGGATTATTCCCATTATCCGTGGATGGGGAATTGCAGACTTAATAGTGAGTGCTTTCTGGTAAAGTTGCTGCATTTAACCAAGGAGACAAATAAATACTGGTAAACAAACTTCATAAGCATAAGACTAATTTAGAGGAACAAACTATATCGCAACCTTGTTTTAGAGTATGTGATTTTCTGGATTTAAAAGAACAACTCTCCATTGCATAATAAGAATTTATTTTCAAAAACAAATACTGACCTTGAGTTTTTTGTTGTTCTTGGTCTCTGTATACATTTGAATTTCTATTGCATAAACCTCCAAGAGTTGGGTTCCTTTCTTATGGTCATCTGTACCATCTTCCCTTTGACAAGATTTGTGAAGTTCCTTCAAGATCTGGCAGAGTTCAACAAACAATTAAATTACTCAATACTAGTGGATACCAATAGAGACACACACATGCATTCAAATTAAATGGAGTGTTGGACAAAATAAAAATATATCACCTTACTCATCCGCCCATATTCCCCAATATCAAAGAAAATCTTACAAAGCTTCAGATTTGTCTTAAACCATAATCTCTGCAAAATGAGTGACATACAAAATAAACATAAGATAGGATTAAGTGTAAATTCGATGGGACAACTATAATCTCTAAATGGATTAACCTCATTCTTTGCTTCTTCAAGGGCTTTCAGAGTTGTCTGGTAGAATTCCTGCAGAAGGCCAAAGTTCTGGCTAGCTGAACCTGAGACATAGTCCATAATGCTGTTTATGCATTTTTCACTATAGTTACGAGTCACTGCCGACTTAATATAAGTCAACATCTCTCTGTAGGCTTCCATCATCTCTTTATATCTTCCAAGTCTATAATAGAGCTTCACAGTTTGCTTTAGAGCTTTAAATCCCCTGGTAAATGTAAAATAAATATGGCATGTGATACACAGTGGCTTATATCACTGTGGAATGATTCTAAGCATATTACTGTGCATGACATGAATGATTACAATAAACAAGGAAAGGGAGGCATGAAACAAACATGTACATTGTATTTATTAAATGCAATCTTGCTTGACACAACAAAATGGAAAGAGAAACATTATTGCTTAAAAAAAAAGAAGCAGTAACAGATCACGGAATTAATGATACAAAAAGGATACAGAACAAAAAAAAATTATGACCATTTAAGCTCTCTAACTCAAACATCCATATGTTTTTTTATTATGTAGCACTCAGAACAAAGTTCTTACCATTCTGCCTTCTCCTGTTCCATGCGCACTACCTCAGCAAAACCAGCAAGTGCACCTTCTGGATCAGTTTCAACCAAACCTATATACAAACGAAAAACAGCATCCTAAGAAGTCAGTGTGAAAAATGAACTAACCAGCTTTAAATTATAAATTACGAAAAAAGAACAATTTTACAAATTTGCAAAAGAAATTTAAATATTATAAATTATTTTGACAACTCACTTTTAATTCATTTCCATAAGGAAGAAACTCATCATGATTAAATCCATATAAACAAGATAATGAATCATATTTGTAGCTCTAACCATGATGCTTTGGACTAACACTAAGATCTAAAAAATAAACTAACTTTTCCCAATTCAATGAATTCATAAATGCTACAACGTCCATTCCTTATGTTTTGCTGTCTTAACTTTTTTGTTTTGATTGAAAAGTTTTGTAATTTTTGATATTCAAGACATATTTATATAATTTTTTTCGCACTTGTACCCTTATTTAATGGTTACGGATGAATTTCAATTTAACTAATCACCGCATATTCTCACCTACTTTTCTGTCTCTCTTAACATTATATGGGGGGTATGTCAAAATATGATAATATACTACATCAATTAAAACCTTCTTATCTGTGTTCAAAAACCTTAAACAATAAAATATAAGGAATGGCAGGAGCAGCAATTATTTTGCTTCTTGTAGTAAGTAGTAACAACTAACAAGAAGTAAAAGTAATAATAATCGTAGGAAATACCCTTTGAATTGTAATACTGATTCTCAATATCAACATCTTGCTCCTCTTGCTCCTCATCTGAGTACTCAAATCCATAGTCCTCCATATCAGCATCTACAAAAACAGAAGCAAACATTTATTTTCTTTAAATCAATTGATCAAAACGAAACCAACTATTATGATTAAATCCTTTCATGCCAAACCACAAAGTCAATGTCACATAATGTTTTGACTATTGATGTTGTGAAATGTGAATACATCAAAGAAACATGACTAGCAAACTTCTTAGGAGAACACCCATCTAACTATCCAGTGGAATTAGCCTTCTTTCTGTAATTGTAGAATTTTAAATCTTGGAATTTGTGGTGTAAGGTTTATGCATATCACCTCAGAAAGGAGAGGACTAAAAGCAGGCATGCACAATGAACCCATGTCATAAAGATTCCACAAATTAAAGTTAATTGGCAGCTTTCTACACTGAGCCCTCTTTTACTCGAGGTTGGAACCATCTACACGAAGATTAGCAACAAAGCACCACATAGGAGAAGCTCCACCATATGGGATAAAGCTTTCTTGTTGTTTCTTATAGCAAACATGTTGAGGACACAAGATAAAAAAACATAAACAATAATCAGTCGCATTGTCTCCTAATGCAATCCACAGGAACATAAAAACACGCAAAAGATAGAAAAACAATGTTTCGCTCAAAGCTTCAGAGTTTCACATAAAAACATTGGGATTCTCATAATTGCCCTCAACATTGATCGGTATTGCCGCACACAAATGAACCACCAACACATCGTCATCGATTGAGAACGCAAAGACATCGTTTGCGCTCAATTGCGCAAAAACGAAGAAAAGCTTCAGAATTCCCAATGTTCCTTAATATTTTCCCGTGGCATAAATCACGGATATGATCGAATCAGGATTTAAATTTCAAGCCTCTTCAAATCGAGAAAGAATATACAAATAAAAGAAGCGATATAGCTTAAGAGACAAACGAAAATTAAACAACAGAAGAAGATTATTGCGAGGGCACAGAACAGTGAAGGAAAGTGTTGGGGAAAATGGAGGAAAAGAGAGCGTACCGGAAGCCATGTTGTTTGAAATCGAGTGAGTTTGAGGATCCGAGTTAGGGTTTTGTGGTGAGAAGCGATGAGTCGGAATCCGAGTTGATAGTGAGAATCCGGCGAGTGAAGCGAAGGTGTAAGGGTAGAGATATAGCCTTTGAGTTTCAGCCTAGATTCATTGCATGTTGGGTCAGCCTTCTAGTTCTAGGCTCGCTTACAATTCCTTTCAAAATTCTTCTAAGCATATATTATAGGTTGGGAAAGGATTTTTCGGACAACAAAACATTGCTTTTTTCTTTTAAAAAAATGCATGTATATAAAAGATATATATCAATGAATCATGAAAATTACCATATTATTTATAATTTTATTTTTAATATTTAAATAAGATTTATTCATTTTAAAATTTGTGATTTTTTTGTTAACTTGTTCTATTTTTTTTATTTAGTTTAATCTAAATCTAATTCTGATTATACACTTTATTTAAATGATATTGAGTCACTTACTCTCAAATGAAAGTATTTTTTTAAAAAATAATTTTTTTTACTATGATTTATTTTAAATATTTTAATTATAAAAAAAAAAAAAAATTTAAATTTAAAATATAAGATGATAAATTACAATTTAAGTTAATAATAAAAAAATTAACAAATCATTAATAAAAGAATCATAAAAATTAAGAAACTAAATTAGAAAAATTAAAATAAAAGATGAAATAAAACTTTTTAAGATTTAAGAATGTTCCTGTTAGAAAAAATATTAGTCTTCCGAAAATTTCTCTACTATATTAATAATATGTTTGCGAGTACTTTTGACTCTCTTTTTTTTATAGGTACTATTTTAAACTAATGAGTCTCATGATTCAGCCTTGTATTAAACCTTTTTGTTTAAATAAATAATTAATGATTATTTATTTTAATTTTATTTAGATATCCCTTATTTATGTTAATATGTCATAATATTTGTTTTTACATCGAAGAGGTATTCAGATTTCTTGTTTTACTATAGTGACTAAATAGTATTTATCTTATAGGGACTTTTTAAGTATATACTAATTTTTTATTTAAATAATACAATTAAAAATAAAATATAATACTATTATATTTTATTTTTAAAACTGAAAATTTATTGCAACCGAAGAAGCAACACATGGAATAGACGAGTGGATCATGGGTCTTGTGGCTTCTACAAGGTTTTGTTCATTTTTAGCAAATTCGTTCACCTCTTTCACGAATGCACACCAAATTGTGATACTCTTTTGTACCAATTCATTGCCATTCGCGATTTGGGAAGAAAAACAGGGAAGCTTCGTTACTTCAAGGGTCTCAATATTTCAACTTGTTGCCTCAAGATAGAAGAAAAATGATTTTATGTGGCAGAGGGTTCTTTTTAGAGAAGAAACTGAGTAGCTGATCTTTTACGTTTAGAAAAGGAAGAGCCAAAAGAAGATCTTTACTTGAGCCTTTTAAGGATTATTAAGAGAAATGTCCCACTTTTGGCACACTCACAGTCTCTGTGATAGGTTCCTAAACGTGCTATAGCTAGGGACAGGGAATGTCTCTTTTAGTGCGTCCACTCGTGGCTTGCTAGATAAAGATTGGAATCTCTCTAAGCCAGACTTAGTAGTTAATAAAGGTACTTAACAACTTCAAAAGCTTGTTGTTTTGAAGACCCTCTTTGTCTCTTAGCCTCTTCAAAAACAACTTAGGAATAGTTGTACTTCATTTGTAATGGACTTATTATTTGATGTTTTTTCTTAGTTTTTATGGATGAATCAGAACTCATTTGCCTTTAATAATAATTTTGCTCAACCAAATATTTTGTTTCATGTTATGTATGTTCTTTCTTGTTTTAGGAGCTGTCCTGATGTTCTTTCTAGATTAGCCAAAGATCCTTTTATGATAAGACTTTTTTCTATTTTTAAGCAATTCAAGCTTGAACTAACTTCAAAATGAATATGAAAGAGAGTAAATTTGAGGAGAAAAAAGGGGTTAAATTTTATATGAATAAAAATAAAACTTATTTTTGAAATTGTTACAAATATATTTATAGAAGATATTTTCCTTAAAAAAAAGTTAAAAGACTTGTTTTAAATATATAAAATTTTGATATTCTTAACTTACAAAATTTATTAAAAATTAAAATATAAATATTATAATTTTTAAAATTTATTATAAATATCATTTTATTAATTTATTTATAAGTCATATAATACACTATTTACTATTAGTCATTATTCAAAATATATTTCAAATTTTTTAAAATAATTTTAAAAATATTATTTTTTATTTTATTTTAAAAAAGTTTTAACATTGTAAAAAAAAAAGGACAAAAATATGATATTTTAACAAATTTAAGAGTACAAAATATTAAAAAATTTAATAAAATTAAAATTAAAATATAAATTATACTGAATAAGACATTAATCGGTTATTACCAAAGATAAAGGAAACTAAATACCTCCTCGGCCACACTTCAAGGTAAAGGGTACCTACACCCCTTCGGCCATACTTCAGGACGAAGGACACTCACACCCCTCCAATCACATCAAAGTAAGTTAACAAGCTAATTAAGGTAATTAACCAATAAAGAAAAGGCTAATTATCCAAACAATCAAAAGAAAAATTTAGGGCTGACCCTGCCTAGTATCATGCCTATAAAAGGAAAGTAAGAATGACAGGTAAGGGTGGACTTCAGAATATTAAATAGCATTTATTGTCCAATATCGAACACTGACTTAACCATTAGAGTGTCTTTACAGGTATCCTCCCCTACGTCATAGCAAAGGAGAATCTGAAATATTCTACAAAGACGTGATATCAGAGGACAAGGAGAGAGATTACAGAAGACGAGTGTATCCTTTGTATGAACATTTTGGCGCCCACTGTGGGCCAATAATCACCTCAACCTTGAGCAGATATGGTACTGACAAGGAGTCAACAAGAAGGCCCCAACCAGCCATAGGTAATGCCACATCAACACAAAGGACAGGTGCAAAATCACCCTGTACTGGAAGTTTTTTTTTAGAGGAGAGGAAGATGACCTCTCTTCAGTAGTAAGACAGCTGAAGGCAAAAATGATGGAGATACAACGTCTTTGGAAAAGGGATGCCCTTGAGTTGTCTGCACTATGAAGGGAAAATACCAACTTGAGAAGCGAAATCAGGACCTACATTCCCTCCTAAGTTACACCTCTTGTTCAGGAATAGAAAGAGTCGTTAGCTCTACAGGAGAAGCTAAGAACCATTCAACAGCAGACAAGGACTAGCCTTTCGATCAGACAGGATAGAATCTTAAGTTGTAGTCCTTTTGTCCAATCAATTCTGGAAGCGAAGTTACTAGACACCTGAAAAGGTATAGCATTGAAAAAATATGATGGAACTTCCGATCCAGTGGAACATGTCGACACATTCACTATCAAAGTAGGCCTCTACACTAATGATGATGTCTTGCTATATCGGATATTCCCAACATCGCTTCGAGGCCTGACCCTCAATTGGTTCACCAAACTGCTACCCACGTCTATTGATTCATTTGCGACACTGGTTACATGCTTCAATCTACAGTTCGCTACTAGTCGTCCTCATCAGTTGACCTCAGTAGCTTTAGTTAACATTCATCAAGTGAAGAAAGAAACACTTAGAGCATTTATGGAGAGTTTTGGAAAAGTGGCCCTTTCTATTCAGAACCTAGATCCAATAGTTGTTATGCACCACCTCACAATAGCCCTGAAGGCAGGACCATTTGTTAACAGTATCTGTAAAAAACCTCCTACTGACTTAGACAAATTATGTTGTCGAGCAACTAAATACATGTAAATGGAAGAGTTGGCCAAGTTCTGCAACCAGGCTCAAATGAAACAAGTCCCCGCCCGAAGAGAATTTGATGGGAGCGAATGTGCAAGGAACTAACAAAAAAATAAAGACTGAAAGATCGAAGTTGAATGACTCCCAAGAGGGCCTAGATATGTAAGTTATACAACGTTGAACACTAATTGGTCTAGAGTACTCGAGCATGTCTTGGCAACAGAAATACTAATGATCCCAAATCGTGTGAACACTCCTCCTCGGGTAGATAAATCTAAAGCATGCCAATACCATCGAAACAGGGGCCATACCACTAAAGAATGCACAACCCTTAAAGACCACATTGAAGATTTAATAAAAGCGGGGCACCTTCAAGGTTTTGTAAGCAAACGAACGAAAAAGAGGAAAGGACAATGGACAGATCCCCCTAGATGGCGTGGTGATAAAAGGGAACGACATTGTAGTAGGTCAAGGGAACGCCCCTAGGATTATCACGATGAACATGATAATCAACCTTGTCGTGTTATTAATACCATTGCAGGAGGATTTGCTGGCAAGGGATCCACCAATTTGGCCTGAAAAAGACATATGCGACATGTCTGATAAGTTAATAATATCTCCTTAGGGACTATAGTCTGAATCCCACCCATAACATTCACAGATAGGGACTTTCAAGGGGTAGACTCGGTACAAGATGATCCTATGGTCATAAACGTCGATGTTCACAATTGTACTATTAGAAAAACTATAATTGATCAGGAAAGTTTGACTGACATCTTGTACTGAAACACTTTCAAGTAGTTGGGAGTTCCGTAAAAAGAGTTAAGGGAGTATGACAAACCACTTGTCGAATTTTCAAGAGAAAGAGTGGAGACTCATGGATATATAGACCTGTATACCCTTTTCAATTCTGAACGGGAAGGGAAGCGCATTAAGGTAACTTACCTGGTCGTTTATGCAAATACCTCATACAACATCTTGTTAGGACACCCTTCCTTGAACAAGCTAAAAGCAATAGTCTCCATCCCCCACCTCGCTATGAAATTCCCCTTTGATAGAGGCAGAATCATCATTGTCCATGCAGATCAAAAGCTCGCCTGAGAGTGCTATTTTGCAAGTCTACGCCTAAAACCTTTGTCCAATCCAAGTAGGGACATCAATATAGTCTCTCTCGGTTAAGAGTAGACCTCTCGAACATGGAACTTGATCCAAGAGTGGACAAGGGGTTTCGGGTTGAGCCGAATGAGGAAAAGACAATTAGAAAGAATGCTCAAACAGGTCACATACCTAGGAGTTGGGTTATCACAGAATGAACAATAAGCAATTTAGAAGGTACTATATTTTAGGTGTCAGTTTTTGCTTATCTGAAAATTTGAACAAAATATTACTAAGCATATATGGAATCCAATGTGAAAAAAAGAAATGGAGAGGAGTTGTAATG